TTCATATCTACGCTATTCAAGAGTTTAGCGCCTTTCCTATCGAAAAGATTACCAAATAACACGGCCTATCTAACGCTCTCTTCTGCTTTCGGGTGCCTACGGTGTTATGAGTTTACCCTCACACTAATGATATAAATGCCTCGAAGAAGACCGAATGAGTTTACAAAATGGTTCCGGTTTCTCAAAGACACTTGCGGATCCTTTACTGAACAGCCTGACTTCGTTAACCTCGATCCTGCAGTGCATCCAGCTGAGTATTATCGCTGTTTCAGTGCTACTTTGGCGAAAAGCGGCTAGCTTGCAATTGCTTTAAACGCATCCACTTGCTGGAAATTTTTTCTCTGTATAGTTTTTTTATAGTGCTGACTGAGTAGAATTTTATTAGCCCTCTCTAAGTCGAGCTCCGGTTGTGAACAGTCCAAAAAGGTTATCTATTCTTTTGAAAAAAAAAAGTAAGTGCGCCTGGGCCACACTGGAGAAGTGAAACTTACGTTACATACATATCTATTTTGTCCCATAACCAATATATGTATATACATACATATGTACATACATACATACATACATCTGCCATAACCTTAAGCAAATATTTTTTGTCGATATCCATAAAAATACCGATAACAAAATCGATAAAAAACCATAACAAAATCGATAAATATCGACAAAACCGATTATCATCGATAAAAAATCGATAAATATCAATAACGAAATCGATAAATAGTAATAACAAAATCGATAAAAATATCGATAACAAAATCGCTAAAAAATTTCGCAAAATCGATAACCAGTCGATAACAATATCAATAAAAATATCGATTATTATATCGATAAGCACCGAAAATATCGATAGCAAAATTGATAACAATATCGATAAAAAAATCGATAAAAATATCGATAACAAAACCGATAAAAATATCGATTATTTTATCGATAAGTCCCGAGAATCTCTAAAATCCCATAATAGTTCCCAGATTAACTTTTCGTGTCTTTCTCTATATCCTTTCCTCTTTTATTGCCTTTATTTTAATCTTTTTTCCCCTATCTTCATCTTTACTTTTATCGGTATCCTCATCCTGCTATTTATCTTTGCTTTTATGTTTATCATTTTCCTCATCTACATATTCCTCTTCACCTTTGTCCTTATATATGTAAGTAAAGTGTTTAAATTTACCTTGGCCATCATTTTTGCCTTTATCTTATGCATCATTGTTTTTGTTTTTATTTTTACCTTTGCCTTTGCCCTTTTCTTCACCTATGTACGTAGTCACCTTTACTTTCATTCTTGTATTGGTGTTTTCTAAGTGTTATTAGTGTTCTAAGTTTTATTAGCAATTTTTTGTTAAATTAGTACCATTGGCATACACACAAGAAGCACTTGTTTCAGACCCAACCATTTCCGTTGCATCATTTCCGTTCAATTTGCCAATTTACTCCCAACCAACCAACCACCGCTAAAGAAGTTTCACTTCAAAAACTCCGTTAATTGAACATCAATGAGACTGCGCACTGTGTAGAAGCTGGTCTCATTTAACGTCACGTCGTACGATTAGCAAAAAATTCTACGAGACCTCTGATAATTTTTGCATGTCCGACAGCTGCGTTGCCTAAAAGAGGTCAGCAGTAAAGGCCGATAAGCCTACTACAATTCGCTCAACTCCAGCACTAGAATGTTTAATATAATTACTTTCCTATCGTTTCATATCGAAGTTTATGTTCATAACTCCTGGTAATGCTATGGAAGTATTTGATTTATACAGACTTCAAGCAGTTCCAAAACAAATAAAAATATGTTAAAAACTCCTAATACATATTATTCACAAGTTCACAATTTTTTTTTTGACCTTTATGGTTGGATTCTTTCAGTATGCAATATAAGACCTTATATTTAAGAGTTCGCTAGCCCTTTCTCCCCTACTGCCAATGGTGGTTGTTAAAGCAAAAATGAAAAAAAACCCAACAGGGTTGCATTAATTGCAATTTCATAACTACAAATTACACTATTCTAAAAATGGCCTTTACCGATGGGTAACTATCGTTAAATTAGCACCTAAACTGATGGAGGTCCTAATTTCTCAATTTAATTTGCAGTCTGAGAGCTGTAGAATCTTAATTTATGGGAGCTCTTGATTCCCTTTTTACCTAACAGTCCGAAAATGGTATAAACCTTGATTGATGAAAATTCCAATTTCTCAATTTAAATGGCAGCCTGAACATAACATAACGTGTTGTTCACTTTAGTTTTTTTTTGTATAATTATCACCTTTTGTATAAAACTCTGATTCTTCTTTTACTTAATTGAGAAAATTAGCTAAAATGTTTCATTAGACTCATGATGCCACCCACTACGAAATTTGTGTTAATCAATTTCTCATTTAACCTCAAATTTGCTTTGAAATTTCATCAATTGCAAGCGATTAATCAATCTTAAACGTTAGTTTTTGATGATAAATGAAATGAGTTTAGTTGTAATTAATTAAATTCTACCAAACTTCTGCTGGTTGATGCTTCGCTGTACTCCCTAATGTATCTCCATTTATAACATAGATCTCCCACTTTTTCGCAAGTATCTGGAATTAGCTCTTCGACGCGCAAAACAATTTATTACAAATCATTTCATTTCAAAATAAACTTCAGCATTTGAGTGGCTTTTCAAAAACAATTTAACAACAACACGGAAATAAATTTGCCACCACAGACTTACTATGCATTATGAAAATAAGCGAAATTGCGCAAATTATAGCAAAGTTTGTATGCATCTATTGTAGAGCTTACATTATTGCATATTACTTATAAAACACAATTGTTAATTGTGGCTAAAAATAAACGCTTTGTTTGCAAAAGATAGCATTCCAACATGTGCATACGATTTTTATTATTTTTTTAAATGAAATAAAGAAAAATCAACAAACAAACCACGCATCACAGTTGGTTGAAAAATAGAAATTTGAAGGCTTGCCTGATAGAAATTCGCACTTAATTATTTGTACATAAACATTTAATTAGTTGGCTTGATATAAGTGGCTGCCAATTTTGTGCAAGTAGTACTGCTCGGGTAAAATAAGCCGTGGCGCCTAAAAATGCTACGTCAATCATGGAATTTGACATGTACACACTGAATGAGAGAATTTGCACTTTATTTCGAGGAAAAGTTGTGTTTTTAAATTGCCTAATAAAGATGGGCGCAGGACTAAATATTCAATTCCGATCCAAACCATCCCGACATTCTTTTTTTTTTAGGTTCCGAACTTGCATATCTCGATGTTTTTCAAATGTGTACCGCGGACGTCGTGGGCACCTATTATTATATCCAAGTAAAATTCACATGGCTTTCTACTTTCGTCTTACTGAAAGATCTGGCATCTCCAGTGCTAATTTCATATACATTTTTCAAATAGGTTGCAACCCGCTTCAAAAATATTTTCGATTGTAAACTTTCTTGAACCTCATTAGTTTGAAACTCATATTGAGGTATTTAATTTATATTATCAATTAACTTAAGTTTTTCAAACAGATGGCAACCTTCTACAAACATATTTTCGGCTGTAAGCCTTCTTAAACCCCTTTCTTTTGACAGCCATAATTCAACATTATTTGTAATATTTCA